GTTCACACGGTTGTCATTTTCCAGCACAAAGACCATTCACCCATCCCATCCACTGTCTGTCTCCTGTCACCTGCTCTCCCTCTAGTTCACACAGTGGTCATCCCCCAGCACTCGGACCATCTACCCATCCCATCCACTGTAGTCTCCTGTCACCCGCTCTCCTTCTAGTTCATGCTGTTGTAATCATCTTCCTACACGTGGACCATCCACCCATCCCATCCACTGTCTTTCTCCTGTCACCTGCTTTCCCTCTAGTTTGCACTGTTGTCTTCCAGCAAATGCAATGTCCACCCATCCCTTCTACTGTCTCCTGTCACTTGCTCTCCCTCTAGTTCACACGGTTGTCATTGTCTTCCAGCACATGGTCCATCGACCCATCCCATCCACTGTCTGTCTCTTGGCACATGTTCTCCTTCTAATTCATGTGGCTGTCATCCCCCAGCACATGGTCCATCGACCCATCCCATCCACTGTCTTTCTCCTGTCACCTGCTTTCCCTCTAGTTTTTGCCGTTGTCTTCCAGCACATGGACCATCGACCCATCCCATCCACTGTCTGTCTCTTGGCACATGTTCTCCTTCTAATTCATGTGGCTGTCATCCCCCAGCACATGGACCATCCACCTATTCCTTCCACTGTCTGTCTCCTGGGCCATGCTCCCCCTCTAGTTCACATGGTTGTCGTTTTCCAGTACATGGACCATCCACCGATACCATCCACTGTCTCCTGTCACCTGCTCTCCCTCTATTAATGCAGTTGTTGTCCCCCGGTACTCAGATCTTCCACCCATCCCAACCACTGTCTATCCCCCATTTTACTGCTTGTTCACCAATGTGTCTTATGTGCTACTGTGTGCCAGGCTCACAGTAGACACAGTCAGTATTTACCAAGTGAAATGAGTGAATAAATGATTGAATACTTCATGGGATTAACAAGATGATATAAATCAGGAGCCAGTGAACTTTTTTCTTAAGGGCCAGAAAACAAACATTTTCAGCTCTGAGGGTTTCTCTGCTGTGCCGGCCCCTAACATTTGGAAGTGTACCTATTTACTGAGTGCCTACTGTGTGCCAGGCACCCTGTGAGCACTGGGTAACCAATGGACACATCTCCTGCCCTCGGGGGCTTACCTTCCAGACATGCAAGATATGTAGACAGACAAAATCATTACAAATGGTTAGAGTATTATAAAAGAAGCAATCAATGTGCTGCAAGAGAGAATCAAGTGAGCCAGAGCGAGTTTCACTCCCTTTAGAGAGAGAGAGAAGAGTCCCTGGGAGGTGCAAGCAATCTAACAGAAAGGTCTGAGGTTCAAGTTCACCCAGAGACACCTCAGAAGAAAGGCCTGATGATCTACTTCTGGAAGATCAGCCATTGAAAACCATATGAGGCAGTTCTACTCTGACATAACATGAAGTTGCCGTGAACCTGAATCCTACCCAACAGAAACTGGTTAGAGAGAGAGGTCTGCAAGTGGGTAATGTTGAAGCCAAAGGAGGGCAGCATCCCCAGTAGGGGGAGGGCTTGGCCCAAGCCCTAGGACAGGACAGAGCTGGGTGAGTCCAGAACCTAAGGATGGTAGAGGGGCTGGAGGAGGACAAGGCGGTCAGAGGGCTGGAATTAACTCCCTGCGTGGCAGAAACGCAGAGGGGCACCTCGTGCTGTCCTGAAGGAGCCTATCTTAGTCATCTAGTGCTGCTGTAACAGAAATACCACAAATGGATGGCTTTAACAAAGAGAAGTTTATTCTTTCACAGTCCAGTAGGCTAGAAGTCCGAATTTTGCGTGCTGGCTGCAGGGGAAAGCTTTCTGTCTCTGTCGGCTCTGGAGGAAGGTCCTTGTCATCATTCTTCCCTTGGTCTGGAAGCATCTCAGTGCAGGAACCTCAGGTCCAAAGGATGTGCTCTGCTCCTGGCACTGTTTTCTTGGTGGTATGAGGTCCCCTGTGTCTCTCTGCTCGCTTCTCTCTTTCATATCTCGAAAGAGATTGGCTTAAGACACTATCTAATCTTGTGGCTCTCTCTCATCAATATAACTGCCACTAATCCATCTCATTCCATCATAGTGAAAGGATTTACAACACATAGGGGAATCACGTCAGATGACAAAATGGTAGACAATCATACAATACCGGAAATCCTGACCTAGCCAAGTTGACAGATATTTTGGGGGGACACAATTCAATCCATGGCAGAGTGACTCGGAGGAATGCTGCGGAGGGGCCCAGGTCAGGGGCCTGGAGGTAGGGAGAGGTCGTATAAGGGAGAGGGGTCTACTGCCAAGGGTATGACTGCAACTTCTCTGTCACCAATGAAAGCAAGAGCAGAGAGACTCACGTGAGGCAGTAGCCAGCCCGGGCTGGGGGTGGAGGGTGGGGCAGGCGGAGCACTGGGTCACACCTTGGGTGGGTGGTGCTGCCTGCATGCATGGGGGCGAGGTGGACCAGAAGGTACAGGGCGAAGTCCTCAAGGCCAACCGCGCCCTCCCCAGGACCTCACCCAAGGCTGAGGCTGGGGTAGCCCTGTGGGGCGGCGGCTTCACTCCTTAGGCCCACATGTCCTCTGTGGAGTGGAGTGAGAATCACCCCACAGGAGGTCATGAGGACTCAAGGAGACTGTGTAAGTGCTGTAACAGCGCGGCACACACCTGCATGGTTGTGTTCTTTTGCTGTTGCTCAGGAAGCAACAGGCTTGGGGAGTGGCAGGACATCTGGTTATGTGGTGCAGGGGCCACTGGGGTGGAAGCTTGGCCTGGGCAAAGGCGGGGAGGTGGGAGCAGGTGGGCCTGTAGCAGGGAGGGGAGGGTGGGGGCAGGGACTGCTGGTGGGAGTAAGTTTGGAGGCTGGACTCCGGACTTTATGCATCCATAGCATTTGTAGTCTCTGAGCTGGGGAGGGGACCGTGCGGGGGCTCCAAGTGCAGCTTTAACTTGCTTCATGTACTTGAGAGTGGACCTTCCTTCAGGGAGTGTTTTCTGTTATTTTGAACCTAGGGTGTTGCCCCTGAGTAAGCCCCTTGGCCTCTCTTGCCTTGGCCAACCAGCTGCAGGTAGAGGGAGACAGGCCAGACACCCCAGCTCTGGGAGGGAGGCCCAGAGGAGTCAGTTCCCACGGAGGTCCCTGCCTGCCTGTGGGGGTCTGGAGAGGCCAACTGGAAAAATGGAAGAGGCCTGAGAAGGCCTGCCTGTGATGCTCTCCAAGGAGGAGGCAACTGTGCTCTCTCCACACTGTTTTCCCCATTTCACAGCTAAGGGCCATTGAGGCTTAGAGCACCAAGTGACCTGCTCAAAGGCTGGGGCATGGCAGATAAGGGACACAGGCAGACAAAGGACTCTTAGCTTCTGCCAGGCTGCAGCCTGCCCACAGGACAGAGAACTTGGCCATAGTAGGGGTCAGATTAGATCAGGTGGTGTCTGAAGTTCCCCATCTGGGGACTCCCTTGGGGTCGGTGGTGAGACTGAATGCTGCTGCCTGTGTCTTTAGTGGGAGCAGCAGCAAATGTTTCCTGAACTCTGTAGAGGTTCCAGAAGAAGTCAGAAGTGGCAGTCTATCACCACTTCGCTCCTGCGGATCCTGCTGTCTGGGAAATTCCTGGTTGTTCTTAGGGGCCAGCTGCCGTGGAAGGAAGTGGGGGATGAACTGTCCCTAAGGAGAGCGAACTAGGGGAGCAGGGAGGCTGGACTGGCCGGCCTTTGGAGATGAGCAGAGACTGGAGGTCCAGGGCAGAGGGAACACCAAGCTCCGACATCTCTCGGGGTCTGGCTTTGGGGAAGTCCCTTCCCCTCTCTGGGCCTCAGCGATTTCCTCTGCGCCCTCTGTGGACTGGAGTGAGAATCACTCACCCCACGGATCATGAGGATTGAAGGAGACCAATTCAGTGGTGGCGGCCTTGATGAGTCCTTCCTGCTCTCCACATTCAATGCCTCTGATGCTCAGTTCAGACCCACATGTTCCTCCTACTCACACTGCCAAAGCCAGGAGTCCCAGGGAGGGGCCAGTGTCCTCCTGAAAGCACCTCATCAGTGTGTCAAAACTACCTGGTCTCCTCTCCAAGTGGTGGTGGAGGAGGGCCTTGCGGGCAGTACAGGGAGCATAGCTGGGGGTCCCTTTTGTCCCGACTGGCTTGGGGCCCGGGGGGGTGGGGAAGCCAAGGCCCATAGAGCCAGGCTCCAGGCAGGGTTGGTTTGCTCCATTGTGCCAGGCCTAGGGGAACTCAAGGTGACCTGGGGGAGTCTGGCCTTGTGTGGGCTTGCAACAGCGAGCTGAGCTTAGCCACCAGTGCCCAGCCTTCCCAGGAACCTCCTGGCCTCAGAGACTGTATTTCCGGTTACTTCCCTTCCACTGAGCCAAGTCAGAAGGGAAGGTTTGGAAGCCTCGGGTGAGTGGGCTAGGGTGGAGCCCCTTCCCCAGCCCCTGTGGGATGGGTTGGCCCCAGGCCCGCCCTCTGGCCCCTACCTGTGGTCCAATTGTGGTTTGGGAGGCCTGCTCCAGCATTGAGGTGGGTTCATCCATGGTTACCACGTTTGCCCCTAGGATGCTGCGGGGTTCTGGGGTGGCCAGGACTCGGCCCCACCCATTCCTGGGTGTAGCTGCAGCCTGAGACATGGGCCTCTGAGCCCCTCCTGCTCCATTCCAGACGTGCTGAGGGGGCCACGCCACCACTGCCCATTTCTCTGGGGGGTAAAGGGGCAGGCAGCAGCAGACCTGTCTTCTGAGAACCCCTCCCCCAGGGAGCCCCCCTGGCAACAAAGGGTGGGCTAGGTCCAATCACACACGCTCCCTGATGGGCAGGGGCCACTCCAGGCTTTATTACTGACAGTGATATCTACACATTGGACAGGTGACCTGCCAGCATCCCCTCTGGTCCTCACAACAGCCCTTTGAGGTGGGTGGGGTCTCCCCACTGCATCCACAGTGCGCTGAGGCCCCAGTGGGTGAGCAGCCGAGTCAGCTGGGCCCATGGTGGCCCCAAGCCCTGCACAGGACTTGTTTGCCTCCCCAGATCGACCTGTACGCGGGGGCGCTCTTTGTGCACATCTGCCTGGGCTGGAACTTCTACCTGTCCACCACCCTCATGCTTGTCGTCACGGCCTTGTACACCATCGCAGGTAGGGAAGGCACCAGTGCAGCCAGGGGTACCTGTGTGAGGGGTAGAGGGCCATCTCCTCCTACAGGCTGGGGATACAGCAGCCTGGGAGTGGCCACTTAGAGTGGGCAGATGGGAAGTGACGCTGGCCTTGCTGCCCTAGCTGCTTTACCCTGCAGGCCACCCAGCCCACAGGGTTGCAGGGACATGCATGCAGAGCTGCTGCCACCAGCAGGAGCTCCACATCGCCTCTTGTGTCCCTCCCCTTTGGGGACACAGCTCCCTCTAGCTCCATTTTCCCCTGCAGGGGGCCTGGCCGCAGTGATCTACACAGATGCCCTGCAAACGTTCACCATGGTGGTGGGGGCTGTCATCCTTGCGGTCAAAGGTGAGGGGCTGGGTGCTTCGGCCAATACCCTGCAGAGCCCACACTGCAGGACCCAGGGTCAGAGCTCAGCATGGGCTCGAGGAGTCAGGCCATCAGGCACTCAGTGCACGCCACCACTCTTGGAAGGGGGAGGCCTGGCCCCTGGAGCTGGAGGCTGCTGGCCTCCCTCCTGCCCCAGTGGCCCAACTGCTTTTCTGTCACCAACTCTGGGCAGCCCTGGACCTGGCACCCAAGCTGACTCAGGAACACAAGGCTGGCTGGCCCGCCCTAGCCTCTGGGCTTGACAGTGAGGTGGGGCCAAGGGTAGGAGTGGAGACGCACAAGGAGGGGCTCACGAAACTTCCTGGATGTCTCCACCAGTTGTTTAAAATCATGTACAGAGTCCCAAGAAGCCAACTGCCCCCAGCTAGACAAAGGCAGAGGAGGACAGGAGAGAGTTTAGACGGATTGGTGATAACAGTCTGGGAAGAGAATGAGGCTTAGAAGTTCATAGGGCTGCCACAGAGAAAGTGAGCTCCCCGTCAGCAGGCATATGCGAGCAGAGCAGGGCGACTGCAGACCTTCAGGGTCTAGCCATTTTTTACTTGCAGCGCACTGTGCCTGTGCACACACTGAGCACCTGCAGCTGTGCTCTCGGCCTCCCATGGACCCTTGGTCTGAGCACTGATCCCAGCCCCGCCTAAGATCCAGTGGGCAATGACCTGAGCCAGGGCCAGGGTCCAGGCACCAGGCTCCCTCCTCCTTGTCCTGCTTGGGGAAGACTGCGGAATGGGGCTGGGACAGGCTTTTCTATGTCTGGGCTTCACGCACCTGTCTCAGACTAGGGGCCCATATCCCAGAGTGGATGGGAGGAGGGTGGTCACAGACATGCAGAAACCACAGACGTGCCAGGTCTTGGCACTGCAGGGTCATGGCCCCAATGCGGACAAGAACAGAGGTGGCTGGACACCTGGGAAAGACCCCTGGCGTGAGTGTACCTTGCCACCCACTGGCCATGTGTCCTCAGTGAAGCCACCGACCCCCATGACCTGTTTCCCTTCTCTGTGCCACGAGGGGCTGGAGCCACATTGTCACCAGCCAACCTCAGCTTTGTCAGAGTGACACGCCTTCAGAAGCCCCTGGAGTCAGGACTTTAACACTTTAAGTTCTCCAGGAAGGTCCTCAATGCCAAGAAAAAATACTTTTGCTTTCTCGAATTGACAGTCCAAAACCTGGCAGAGTCCCTTGCCCCAAGGCTGAGGGGCATCCAGGGCTGCAGGGATTCCTACTGGGCCAAGAGAACCCTGGGGTGCCTTTGTGCAAAATGCTCATTTAATAGTATCATTTTAAATACAAATAAAATAGTCATTAAATTCAACTGGGGAGGTGGAGAAGTGAGAAAATTTCAAGTTTGCTGCATCAGGAAGTTGCTTGTGAGATGAGGGCAGTGGGAGCCCGGGGAGCCAGGGCCACCCAATACCAAGCTGTCTCCTCTCCTACCCGACCCTTCTAGCCTTCAACCAGATCGGTGGTTATGACCAGCTGGAGGCAGCCTATGCCCAGGCCATCCCAGCCAAGACCATCAACAACACAACCTGCCACTTGCCACGCACAGATGCCATGCACATGTTCCGAGACCCCTACACGGCGGACCTCCCGTGGACTGGGATGACTTTCGGTCTGACCATCATGGCCACTTGGTACTGGTGCACTGACCAGGTAAGTATCCATGTCAACCGCCCACCACTGCATCCAGGCGTGCCTTGGGGTGCCCACGGCCATTCACCAGTCCCCAGAGCCACGAGAGCAGCGTGGCTCTACAGACACTGCATCATCTAAGTCCAGGCTGAGACCAACGCTGCGGGAGGCATGGGTCTGGCTGGGAGAGGCAGCTAGGGGTCCTTGTGGTCCCTGGGGGCCTGGGTCCTCCGTTTGGAGTCAGATGAGGCCCATTGGCCACCGCCCGTCCTGGCCTTGAGGTGCTTAGACTGGGACAATTTGGAATACGGGATTCCAAAGGGACTTGGATGCTCCTCGGTGGCCCTGCCATTGGCCAAGGGGCCAGCGTCCCGGGCTGGTCTCAGGCTCCCGGGGTCTGGCAGGGTGCGACGTACCAGGGTCCCCTTGGCCTGCCAGAGGTGGGAGCCTGCTTTTCTAGGGGAGCTCTGGGCATTGTCAGCTGCAGGGCAGTATTGCTGGGGTCTTGTGGTCCTCAGTGGTCGTGGGAAGCTGTCCTTATTCCTGGTCCCAGAGGCAGGGACCCCATAATGGTGGAACTGCTGGCCCTGGGAGAAAAAGAAGAGAGGAAAGTGAGAGCTGGGGGAAGGAAAGGTCAGCTCTATCCGTTCCGGTGGGTCTCCAGCCAGGTACCGGAGCCAGCTGGGCAGTCTTAGACAAATCCATCTAACCACTGGGGCGCCCTCAGTTTCTGTAAAATTGACCCATGGGGGTCGACGACAGTCGCTTATCTGGGGCTTCTCAGATGGCCTCACCAAAGACAAAGTAGGCTGGGCACTGAGGCCCGGGGGGGTGGTCAGAATGGGTTCAGCCCAGCACAGGATGACTCTCTTGGACAGTTGCCTGCCTAGTTAGGGGATGCCCTGAGGCCCCCACAACTCTTCCCCTCCTGAGAAGTAGGTACTCAGTCACATTTCCCAGCACCTCCCTGCATTCTGACCATGGGATGTGACCTGGGAGGCTGGGCCTCGGTCCCCCTATGTAACATGGAGGGTGTTTCCCACTCTGGACTCCACATTGGCTGTGCCTGGCATGTGGGGCTCCCAGGGAGCATGCGGCCTGTTGTGGATGTCCATCTACCTCCCTGGGAGGGCTAGGCGTCAGCTGGGTGTGGATGCATCTGGGGCACCCAGGCTAGCACTGTGCCCTCACCCTGCATGCGCCACCTCTCACTTCTCCACTCAGCAAGGACCTGGCAGGGCACCGGCAGCTCTGGGTGTAACATCATTCAGGTGATTTTCCCAGGAAGGTTGAATGAATCAGCACAAATCCAAGCCTAGGGGCCAGAGGGTCAGGCCCCTGAAGTCACTCAGGGAAGTACAGGTGGACCCAGAAGGGCAGGACTCCGACTCCAGGATCTGAACTGGCATTGGGCCCATGCCTGCTGCCCCCCACCCCCAGGCCCCCGCCTTGGCTCAGAGATGCCCACTGCTCCCCTGACACCCTCACACCCTCCTACCCGGGGCCTTCTGCTCCCCGCTCTCCACTGCCTCTGCCTACTGCCTCTATCCCGTTCTTCAGGGCCTGGTTACCTGCCCTTGGCCCCTGGATGCCCCTGCCACATATCATCCAGTGGGGTGGTTGTCTGTTGACCTGTCTGGCTCCCCACTGCATCAGGGTGCCATCTGGTTACCCATGTCCCTCCACCCTGCACGGAGTCTGGCCCGGGAGTTGGGGGGAGGCGTCAGTCACCAGTCCCTGCTGAGGGAACAGGGCCCAGCTTCCTGGCATCAGAAGTGGAGGCCAGGAAGGGGAAGAACTTGCTTAAGTCACATGGCCAGGAAGAGGCAGGGGGACCTTGAGCCAGGGCCTCCTTGCCCTTCACTGCATGCCCTAGTCCAGAAGCCCCCAGGATGCAGGGCAGGTAGTCTAGGCCCAGCTGCCTTGCACCAGTCCAGCTCAAGTTTCCCATTTCTGCTGACCCCCACTAGCCCCTGGAGCTTTTCCAGGCACTTGGAGATCTGTCTGCTCTCAGCTCGCTGGCCAGGGTAGGCCCACCAAGACGTTTAGTCTGGTCAAAGATGAGGCCACAGTGCTTGCTGGGTGGTGGGACGATGGGTGGTTTTTGTTCTCTCAATTTCTTCTAGCTTATCTACCATGAGTAGGTAGTGCTTTTGTAATCAGAAAGAAACAAATAATAAAAAATAAGGACGGCATGGACCAGAGGAGTCCCTGGGTGGTGCACATGATTAATGCTCAGGTGTTAATCAAAACGTTAGAGGTTTGAATCCACAGAGGCACCTCAGAAGAAGATCTACTTCCAAAAAATCAGCTATTGAAAATTCTGTGGAACACAATTCTCTGACACACATGGGGTCGCCATGAGTTGGGGCTGACTCAAGAGCGAGGTTCTTTCTTATGGACAGACTGCCCCCTCAGGCCCTTCCAGCTCTGGCACCACGCACAGATCTTCTGCACCTGGTGATGCTTGGGCTTGAGATGGCTCTTCTCTTTAACTGGAGCAGCAGTCTCAATCCTAGAGGTGGCCAGAAGCCAAGCACAGTGTAGAATGCATGGCACACAGGATCCCACTGAGCCCACAAGAATGGTTCTCTGATCCCCAGACCAGGGGGAGCCTAGGTCCTAGTCCTCTTAACCTGGCTCTGTGCTGCAGCTCCTCTGAAGACCGGGAGTGCCTGCTCACTGAGGCCCATGGCGTCTGGCCATGGGCTGGGTGTCCCACACTGGACAGGGTGGGGTCCCACGGTGCCCCTGCAAGGTGGTGGTGGCCTGCTGTCTTACAGATGAGGAAACAGGGACTCAGGGACTGAAGTGGCTGAGTTGCGGGAATGAAGGGAGGAAGCACAGGGTGGGGCAGGGCTGAGCCAAGAGGCATCTGTGAGACATGGCCCCGCTGACATTGAAGGGGTCTCGCCCTACTGGATGCTCAAGGAGAAGCTGTGCTCGGCTGGGGCACTGGCAGGCCTCCCAGCTCAAGAAAACCCTGAGCCTCAGCTTCTCCACCTTCAGAATGGGTGATTGAACCTCTCCCACCTGCCTCCAGGGATGGGATGAGGGAATGGAGGCAGATGTGTCCTGCACACTACAGAACATTAGCATGCAGTGTTTATAGAGAAAGGCTTCTCTCTCCATGAGGACCAGGACCCTGGGCATTTGCAATCACAGGGGGGGAAGAGTCTCTAGGGAGAGCCTCATCTAATGCCTAACATTGCCCAGATGCGGAAACTGAGGCCCAGAGAGAAGCAAAGATTTGCCCCAAGTCCCAAGGAGCTGGCAGTGCCGTGTGCTGCCTGGCATGCTCTCCTTCTGTCACTAATGTTTAGATTTAATCCTTAAAACAATCTTTTGAGCTCAGTATGATTATCACCATTCCTGCTTTTCAAAAAGAATTTGGAGACACAAAAAGGTTAAGCAAATTGCTCCAAATCACTTAGCCAGTAAGAAGCTGAGCCCAAATTCAAACCAAGTTACCTGAGAGTTTGTGCTATTTTGGCCAGGCTGCTTGGGGGGCGCTAGAGTGCACGATTTCAGGGTAAACGCTTGGAGCTATCTGTTCAATTAGCATGTCTGGAAACTAAAATCACAAACAACTCCTACGTCTGAACTGCAGGTGGTGATACAAACTGTAGAACAGCAAAGGAAAAATGCTTATATTTAAAAGTTACAGGTTGTACAAAGCACTGACTTGTGTATTTTAAGTGAGTTAATTGTACGGCATGTAAATTATATCTCAAAGTTGTTTAAAAAAAGTTATAAAACCAGTTGCCATTGAGTCAACTCTGACTCATGGTGACCTTGTGTGTCAGGGTAGAACTGTGCTTCATGGGGTTTTCAATGACTGATTTTTCAAAAGTAGATTGCCAGGCCTTTCTTCTGAGGTGCCTCTAGGTGGATTTGAATCTCCAGCCTTTCAGTTAGCAACCAAGTGCACTAACTGTTTGCACCACCCAGGGACACCTTTGTTAAAACTAGAATCATGTCAGAGTTGGGAGGATTTCAGATGTCATCAGTCCAAACCACCCCCCTCCCATTCTGCAGATCTGGAAACTGAGGCCCAGTTAGGACTTGCTCCACAGGGAGCTGGCTGCCTCAGTCAGCATTGATTATTCCCGCACTACTGACCTCAAAGCTCTTCACAGCCCCAGGTCTTAGAGCTCCCCGCTCCCTGCTGGCGACACAAGTTGGTGACAAGGTCCACTCCTGACATGTGTTTGAGACACCAGCCATTCTCATGAAGGCCCAGAGGATTCCGGGGGTGGGGTCCCTGATACCATCCCACCCACAGTCTCCACCCTTTTCCTGGGCAGATGGGGAGATCAAGTCCCTGAGGACCATCCCAAGCAGCTCAGCTGACAGGGGTGAGGTGGGGGGTGGATAAGGGGTTTCTATCAGCTCTCTTGGCAGGTCTGGGGCCAATGCAGAATGGGACCGCATCATGTCCCATGACACTCCCTGAGGCCTGCTGGGGAGAAGTCTAGACACAGGTGTCCCTTCTGATGTCGGCCCCTCCAGGTCATTGTGCAGCGGTCGCTGTCTGCCCGGGATCTGAACCACGTGAAGGCCAGCTCCATCCTCGCAAGCTACCTCAAGATGCTCCCCATGGGCTTGATCGTCATGCCTGGCATGATCAGCCGTGCACTGTACCCAGGTAGGACAGCCCCCAGGCGCTGGCCAGGCTGCTAGAGTGCCAGGGCCTGTGTCTTCATCGGACAGTCACCAGGAAGGGAGGTAAAGGATGGATTCCAGCTGTTTGCCAGCCTGGGGGAGCAGGGAGGAAAGTGGTCCCTGGGGCCACAATTAAAAGGGTCAATGAGGAGGTGACATGGTGGACAATGCAGACAGGTCTAGGCAGGGTCCTGTTTGACCACTTACTGCTGTGTGACCTCAAAGGTGTAAACTAGCATCTCTGTGCTGCTAGCGTTGCCTTGTATGCAAACTCAGGGCCCTACCCCCGCCTGCAGGGCTGTGTTAAGACCCTGGGACACCAGGCGTCTGAACCCTTGAGACAGAGGTGGATTTCCCCTGGCTCGCGGCGCCAGCTCAGGTGGCTTTTGTGGAAATTTGGGGCTAAGCGTCCCCTGCATGTGGCCCGGTACTTTGATGCTCCTTGCTGTTCGTCAGTTTCCCCATCTGTCACAGGAAAGGGATTTGAGCCGGTGACACTGTGCCTAGAAGACAGCAGCTCAGGGGGGCCTGTGACGACTACCTCTGAGTGCAGGGACCTCGATACCCTGGGCGCTCAAGGGGGCCTGTGATTAATCTTCAGTACAGGGACCCCGATGCCCTGGGCGCTCTGGAGGGGGCTGTGACGAATCCTGAGTGCAAGGATCCTGATGCTCTGGGTGCTCGGGGGGCCTGTGATGAATCCTTAATGCAGGGACCCTGATGCTCTGGGGACCCGGATGCCCTGAATGCTAGGGGTAGGGGGTGGGCTGTGACCCCTCCGGTGTACAGGGACCTCGATGTTCTGGGTGCTCGGCAGAGCCTGTGACCCTTTCTGTGTGAGGGGCTCCAATGCTCTGGGGGGCCTGTGACCCCTCCGGTGTGCAGGCACCCTGATGTTCTGGGTGCTCAAGGGGCCTATGACCCCTGCTGCGTGCAGGGAACCCGACCTACCTGTGTCTGCTTGTCTGGCGATGGCTGGGCTTGCATACTCGAGGCATCCGCCTCTTCTCTTGCCCAACTCCAGGCCCACGGGAAGGCCCCCATGGACCCATCAAAGGTCCCTCGGCTCACATGGGGGGCGCTCAGCTGTCGGCGGGGTGGCAGGGCTGCCCCATTGGCTACTTGCTCTGAGTGGCACCTCCGGAGAGGGGCTGAGCGCTCCCTCACCTCAAAATACTCATCTGACAAGGAGGAGGCCACTGAGGGCTGCCGTTGACCAGGGCCGTGGCTGGAGTTGCCTGAGAGGCTGTCCTGGTCACTGAGGGTCACATAGTCGTCATCATCTTCCTCTTCCTCCCTGTCCAGCCCATTGGGGACCCCTGCCCTCAGGCTCTCAGGATCATCCTGGGTCATGGACAGCTGCCGCTGGAGTGGGGTATGGCCCAGGCCCACTTCCTGGGGCAGCCTGTGGTTGGTCCCATTCTGGGGGGTCTCCTTGTCTGGGGTCTCTGGGGCCCAGCCAATACTGCCACCCTCCTGGGCAAGTAGGTCTGCCACGGAGACCGTCCGGGGCTTGGGCACAGGGGGCCTTGACTCAGAGTCCCCCTGGGGGAGGCCACTGGTGGCAGGGGCCCCTTTCTGGTCCTGACCAGCTGGAGCAGGGCTGCAGCCCTGGCTCTGCCTCCATAGCTGGTGCTGGGCACTGGCCTGGGACGTGTCGCAGATCTTGATGCGGTTCACCTGGCTGGGCTGGGGGTTCCAGATGTTGGGGTCAATGATGTTGATGTAGCCCAGGATGTCACTGCCTGGCTCAGGGTCTGGTTCCACCCACGTGGGCAGGTACTCAAACATGTTGGCACGCTCCAGGTGCAGCAGCCCGGGGTGCACAGGTGGAGGAAGCTCAGGGAGGTCACCAGGCCGCTCCACCAGCGCTGGGCCCCACAGCCCCGGGGGCTGCTTGGTCTCCGGTTTGTCAGAGCAGGTCTTAGCGAGCTCATCGGCACTCTTGGCCTTGACTAGTGCATACTTCGGGTTGACCAGTTTCTTGGCCACAGTGCCTGCAGGTGCCAGGGGGACTACAGACGGCAGCATGATGGGCTCGGGTTCAGGCTCCTTTTCCATGGGGACACCCTGGAGGCTGACACTGCGCGATGTGAGATACAACTCCTGGAACTGCCGGTCAAACATCTCTACCACCTGGCCAGACAGCACTGAGATCACATTCCGGTCCGTCCTGGCAGCCGACCACGTGAAGCTGCAGCACAGAAGGCATGCAGGTCAGCACAGTGTGCCGGCCTCCTCCCAGAACCCCAGGCCCACTGTGCTGGGCCCACAGCTATCTCACAGACTATACCATTAGGTACTAGGGTCATGTAAGAGAAGTGAGCCAGGGTAGAGGGCCCAGCTCCATCACTTTACTGTCACCTGTGGGACTCCAGGAAGTGACTTTGTCTGTCTGTGCCCAGCTTCCACTTCTGTGAGGACAACTCCTGCCCTCTTCCCTGGCTGTCCTGGGACTCACTAAGGCAGTATGGTGGATACCCTGGGCAGCGCTGATACCTGGCGTGGTCCAATGCTTGCTATCTGGTGTCACATCTGTCTCTGCCACCACCCACCCTTGCGCCTCCTCTATAACACAAGGGTCTCACCCCACTGCCCAGAGGCCGCCTCACGGATGGTCCGATGCTGCGTATGACACCGCCGTCATCACTCTGGCCCTACTCCCCGAGAACAGGAAGAGGCTATGTGCCCTGGCCCACCCCACCTCCAGGCTGGGTGACAGCAGGGCAGATGTCTTGGCGTGAACGGAGCGCTCCTCTGCCTGGACAGAGTCCCACTCACACCTCATCAGTTTGGGGACCCACAAACCATAATAACCAGGTGTCATAGTCAGGATTAGGGCAGAAGCCAGTTGGGAGCTGGAGATGTGCTTTGCTGGGAGTCACCTGTACGAGCCGCACACTGCACGGTCCCCGTCCACAAACATAAACTTCTGGGCGAGAGCTCCCTTGAACTTGGTGGCTGACCGAGTGAAGAACTCCGTTCCCCCGCTGCTCCGCACTCTGAGGTTCTGCATCGCGGAGAAGAGGAGACAAGGGGACAATCGCATCATCACTGCTTCAACTACACAGGGGTGCAGCCAGTTCTGCCCGCTTCTGAGCGCTTTCAGAAGACAGGCTGGGGAGGGAGGGGGCGGGGCTCGAGGCTGGAGAGGAAGCTACTTGGGAGGGGTGTTGAGGGAGCAGGGAGTGGGCTTTGGCCTGAGGTGTGTTCCCCAGAACAGCAGCCCCACAGCACGCCTTGTAAGCAAGGGTCCTGTCCTGTGGTGAGGCAAGTTTGAGAAACGTTGCTCGGTTGCGGGGTGGGGAGGGTGCCGGGGAGTGTCGTAGGGTCTTGAGCTAGAGAGCAATAGGGCCCATTCTAGAAAGCTGGCCCTGACGGTGGGGTTACGGGGCAGGGAGAGAAGGCGGGAGGCAGGCTGCCTGGTTGTCCCCCGTCTCACCCTCCCTGCTGAGCTCTGCTCGCCAGGGGCAGGGTCCCTGGCAAACCCCCTACTTCCCTGTGGAGCCAGCCTACTGCCTGGTTCTGAGAGGGTTACTAAACAGAAAAACTGCCTTCTCAGCTAGGCTGGCCCTGAAAGACCCCAGCAGGGAGCTAGGGCCAGACAGCAGCACAGGCTTGTGCAGGAACTGGGCCGTAAGGGACTTGGGTCCCAGGTGGGGCCACAGACAGCTCTCCCTGGCACCTGGCCATCTAAGGGATGTCTTGTCCCTCAGTGGGGCAGGGCTTGCTCTGGGCAGGGGGTCAGATGTGAAAGCCAGACCCAGGAGAACCTGTCTGAAACCCAGGAGTTGAGGGAGCAAGGGAGGGCACCCCATTATGGAACCTCAGTGGGAAGGAGACCTAGAGCTCATCTGGTTCAAGCATCTCCAGTGCAGGGTTAGAAATGCAGGTTCCTGGGTACCCTGTGTCAGGCCCAGGAATTTCCTTTCTTTTCTTTTTTATTGTGGTAAAAAAGATTCTGACTCATGGTGATTCCATATGTGTCAGAGTAAAACTGTGCTCCATAAAGTTTTCTATGGCTGATATTTTGGAAGTAGATTGCCAGGCCTTTCTTCCAAAGCACCTTTGTGGACTCGAACCTCCAACCTTTTGGTTAGCAGCGGAATGCATTAACTGTTTGCACCACCCAGGGACTCCAAAATATATATAACAAAATAGTTTCCATTTTAACTATTTTAAGTGTACAATTCAGTGACATTAATTACATTCACTATGTTTGGCAACCATCACCACTAACCGTTTCCAAATGTTTTTCATCATCCTCAACAGAAACTCAGTGCCCCTTCAGCAATGACTACCCATATTCCCTGGAATTTCTGTTTTTTACAGAAGCCCCAGTAACTCTGTCTCCTGGTCCAGGGCAGGAATGCCCTCTGTAGATCCTGACAGGCCACTTGCATGCCACCCATGACGAGAGCGCCACTCTCTCACAAGGGTCGCTCGGCTGCTACGTGCTCGTCAGACTGGCTGTAACTGCCCTTCACTCATGTGCTCACTGACCATGCTGGGCCCCCAGTGCAGACAGAGATCTCTGTGCCTGGGCCCCTGTGGAGGTGGTGGGGGCGGCAGACAAGTCAACACAAGCAGTCGGAGGCCAGGGCCCATGCGGGGAAACCCCAGATCTGGGACTGGGGGATCCTGGGCAGGGAGGGGCACGCAGACACAGGCCCAGCAGGGAAGGGGCAGCACAATGCCTAAGAAACCGAGTGCCTGGGGTGGCTGTGGGTAAAGGCGAGAAGGCCTGCGGCGCAGCTTGTTGGGGGCAGGTAGGAACCCCGAGGCCAGCTGAGGGCAGCAGGAGCCCGGGGGGAGTTGAGGTGGGGAGTGCCCACTGACATCTGATCCCAAGAACAGCTCCCAGGACCTCAGTATGGGGAGATGGAGGGAGAGGGCAGTGGCGGGGGTGGGGACTGTGCGTAGTAGGGCAGCAAGAAGAAGGTGTGGGCTGGGAGAGCCAGCCTACTCCCAACTCCAGCCTGGTACCCAGGCTGCTCTACACCCTTGCTGGGGGAGGGGGTCCCAGGCCCCTCAGCACAGTAATTTAGGTCCCCACATGATGCCCACTGGCTGTCATGCCAGCACCCCGCTGAGAGAGCAGGTACAATGGGCCTGTTATTGGGCCCAGCCCAGGGTGAGATAAGCCTTGGCTCCTGGGCAAGTGGGCGGCTCTCCCCTGCAGGCAGATGGCTTGTCTGCACAGGGCTAGCTCAGCCGGAAGCTGGCCATGGCCCAGGACAATTAGTGCTTGTGACTTTGCACCCAACATGGAGCATGCTCAGGGACGAGAAGGTGGAATAAAGTTCCTCTAAACCTTGTGCCCGCCCCACCACCCTAAACCTTGTCCTGAGGAGGGCCCTGAAGGTCACAAAGACACAGCCTCCCTGAGGGCCTGGAACTCTGCACCCTTAACCTGCAGTGTGACTCTCAGCATGGCCCCTTCTGGGCCTCGGTTTCTCCGTCTGCATACCGGGCAGTTGGCCTTGAACTCAAAGGCCAAATGGGGCCCGGCAGCAGGGAGGGGCCTGTGGAGGGACACCCACTGGCCCCATGGCCCACTCCTGTGCCTGCCAGTTCCTGGGTGGGGCCACCCCCGGGGCCTGGCCCAGATGAGGTAACGTCTCTGGAGTCTGGGCTCATTGAGCGAGGTGGAGATGCGACAGAGCTGCATTGTCTTGGAGCTCCCAGGACACCCCAGCAAAGTGCAGAGACACCTGCATTGGCACAAGTAGGGGGTCCAGGGCATGGACTTGGACCCTCAGGACGTCAGTTTCCTCATGTAAAATGGGGTGGCAAGGGCCCCTGGGAGGACGTTAGGGGAGAGTTGGGAGGGCAAGAGGAGATGGCCAGGCACAGGGAGGGGAGGCTCAGCACCAGAGACGGGCAGAAACCCCAGCCCCCTCCTTCTTGCCTCCCCTGACCCCAGCAGACCCCCAGGACCCTGTGCTCACACGGGGGACATGACCTTGTGCCAAGCCCAACAGCACCCAGGCCTGAAGGTCACCCCCAGGGAAGGCTGGGTCTGGGGGAGCACTCTCAAGTTTGGGGGTCAGATGGGGCTGACAACTTGGCCTCTTCACACCTCAGCACTCGTGTCTGTGAAAGGGGCCTAACTGTCCTAGGGACGTGTGGAGACTACAGGAGGACGTAATTAGTGGGGGGCCGGGAAGTTGCTTGGGCTCAGTGGAGGCTCCACAGCTGTGAGGTGACAAAGTGGGGTGTGACCGTGCAGGCTGTGATCAGGGCAGACAGGGACTGGCACAGGGGCAGACACCCACCGGGGCGGCATGCTCAGGACAGACGGGGACCAGCACAGGGGGCAGACACCCACCGAGGGGGGCCGTGCTCAATGTAGATGGGGACTGCCCCAGAGGCAGATGCCCACCGGGGGTGGGCTGTGCTCAGGGTAGATGGGGACTGGAACAGGGGCAGATGCTCACCGGGGGGGCATGCTCAGGGCAGATGGGGACCGGCACAGGGGGCAGACACACCAAGGATGACATGGGCCCACTGGGGAGGCTGAGGTGCCAACCATATCTTACGGACAGCCAGGTGGGGCTCGGCACAAGGCAGGGGCTGAGGTCAGATCAGAGAAGCCAAGTTCAGGTCTCCGGCCCCCCAGGGTCACCTCTTATTCGCTCCACACCCTCCGCAGAGCCTGCTAGCACTTCTGGCTTGAGGAGTGGGAAATGAGATGCCCAGTGACCAGGCAAGCTCAGGCCAGGTGAGGGGCAAGCAGGGGATAGAGCCCTGATCCAGGAGGCGGAGCCATGTCCTCCCCTGGGTGGACCCCTGCTGTGCTGGGCCCCACCAGCCTCTGCTTCCTTGGATAAAGTGGAGGGGGCAGGGGCAATGAGCACCTCCAGGCCATCATGAGGCACTTCGTTAACCACTGTGGCCCCTGGTTGGGACACATGGCTGTTTCAGGAAGAACCGTGACTGAGGGCTCTGGCTCTCCCCTAGACCAGGGCGGCTCAGCCTCGGCAGAGCTGGCACTCGGGCTGGGCCATTCCTGCTGGCGAGGTTATCCTGTGCACTGTCAGACGTTGAGCAGCACTCCGGTCTCCGCCCACTAGACACCAGCAGTACCTCCCCAGTGTGATACCCCAAACTGCCTCTGGACACTGCCACATATCCCTAGGGGGCAGACAGCCCTGGCTGGTTCACCACTGCCCTACACCTGGAGTTTACTATAGACACGGGTGAGGGCCAGAGAAGGCAGGCTCCCTGGGCCGGCTACTCTGTGTGAAGCTGAGCAGGCCCTTGCGCCCACGCTGAGCGCCTCCTCCATTGTTCGGGGGGGCTGCCCTGTTCATCAGAGGCGGGCTGTATCCAGTAGCTTCCACTGGTTTTTCCAGTTTGGCTGCACAAAGTCAGCTCATCTTTCAGGCCAGCCGAGCATCTGACAGCTCTTAGCCAACTAAAGCTATGAGCCTGGAGGCCTACCTGGCTCCCTCAGCACCCAGGGTCACCCCCAGTGTTGTCTGACCCCACAGTCCTAGCAGCGGGTGTGTGGGTGGGAGGACTGGGTCCTCTGCTGGCACAGCATTCTCAAGGCCTGTTGACACATTTGTAAATTGGGGATACCCCCATATCCCCCACCTGGAGGACTGTTGGGAGTGTGTTGTGCCACCAGGCTGGGGTGCCAGGGACAACTGGGGTGCTGGTGTGTATGGTCCACCTCACCTGGGGACCAGGAAGCCAGAGTGACCCCAGTAACAGGTGGTGCTGGGGTAGGAGGGAGGAAGCTAGGATGCAGGCTGGGGGGCTGCCTGGAGGCAGGGGGTGAGGGTGGTCCTCAGCCAGACTGCAGTACACCCTCGGGAGCTAGGAATGGAGCCAGGGTCTCCTGGGAGGGACCGTGTCCCCTAGCCAGAGAGGTAGCAGAAAGGCCATTCTCAAGTGCCCATTACAGATGGCCTCCTCTCCTCTCCACAGCACACTGCCACATAGATGATGCTGTTCCCACTTCACAGACCAGAAGGTGGGGGCCCAGAAAGGTCCCGTGGCTGCCCAGGGGTCCAGTGCCTGTGCAGAGCTGGGGCTCGGGCCCACCCAAGCAACTCTGTACCCGGGCCCCCAGGAGCCAAGGCAGGTTGGTGCAGACCTGGGCAGGGGCACTGATGGCCTAGGGATTACCATGAGAAAATGTTCCTGAGACAGGCCTGGGCCCAACCGGCCCAAGGGCAGGGAGGCAGGCCCTTGACAAGGTGACACCTGGCTGGGCTGGGTCCACAGGAGCTACTGGCCACCGCCCAGGGCTGTGGAGGGGCGGGCTCAGAGGCGAGAATGAGGAAGCCAGGGTCCCACTTTCCCATGAAGGTGCCCAGCCTTCCCACCTGGCTCCTGGTGATGTCACTACAGGTATGGGTGCATGTACAAGGTGGCCTTGCACCAGCTACCTGCCTGCCATGCTACCATCACCAGAGCAAGTGGGCGGTAGGCAGGGCTGGGGACTCTCAGCGTGCACTGCCCTCCCCTGCTCCAGGGCAACAGTGGTCACTCCAGACTGGTCAGGGACCAGCTGAAGGGTGGAAGGGTGGGGAGGCCTCAAACCCAGTCCCCTACCCTCCCCTGCCCAGGGCCCTGTACTTAAAATTTTTTGTTCTTGGGCAGACAACATAGTGGGCACCCAGGTTCTGTGCCCTCCTTGTACCTGTCAAGTTCTGGCTCCTGGCAAAACCCTTGGCTTTGAGGTGACTTTGGGCAAGTCACCACTCCCTCAGGCCTCGGTTTCCCCATCTGTCCTGTAGGAACCTCTCCAGGAAAGCCACAAGGTCCCTCCTGGCTCAGGCATTCCAGGCCCTGAAGCTTCGGGGCAGCAGGGAGCTCTTGGGCTCTGTGTGGCACAGGGGAAAGGGGACAGGCGGGCGGGCAGGGCCAGCCTCATGGAGGCTACCAGGCTCTGGGCCACATCCTTAGCCTGCCTCAGCCCCATCCTGCCCTCCACTTCCTTGGAGCCTGGACAATTACAAGGAGAGGAGCAGCCAGGACGGCCCTGCTGAGGGCCTGTGGCACGGGGCAAAGACACTGCAGTTTTCCACCACTGCCCATCAGCTAGCCCCACTGTGAACCGGGGACAAGATAAGGGCTCAGGTGATGGGGTGTGTGGACAGCATCCAGCTGGACAGAGGCTGTGCGCAGTTGTGAGGGGTGCATCAAGGTCTCTGCTAGAGCCCGGAGAGGGCTGGACAGAGTTGCCCCAGGTCTCTGGCGCACTCCTGCAGGGCGAGACCTTGGCAGCATGTTTGAGATGTGTTCTGTGCTCTGGTTGCCCTGTGAGCTGTCAGTCAAGGGAGCGTCGTGCTTGATGCTCATTACACCATGGGTGGGCAGGGCAGCACATAGGGCTTGGGGCCAGCGTACCCAGGAGACCACATGAAACACCCTGACAGCCACAGACCTGCTTGGAAGCAAACGTCCTACCTGAAAGGACTCACCTGGGGCGGGGGGGCACACTTGGCAAATGCCAACAAACAACAAGCATGAGAGCCTGGCTCCTTATTAACCAGCCTAGCAGTGTCCTTTCTCCTCAGGTGTCTGTCTGGATCCTGGGCTTGAAGCCTGAGGAATTCCGACGGTCAGATCTCAGTCTGAGCCAGAGGCTCTGCTGCTGACCCCCGCCCCTTCATTTGTAACATACAGCCGTGCTACCCCGGGCAAGTGCCTCCACTTCCTCATTGGTTCAATGGGAACAGCTGCCCTAGCCCACTAGGTGTTGGAAGGATTAAATTAACTGTGTAAAGTGCCCAGTATGGGCCCAGCACATGCCAGACGCTACAAAAGGATTAGCTGTCATTGTGCATGCTGATCTATTCTCTAGGACGACTTTCTGCACAAAGCAGGTGCTGAGTGATGGCTGGGTGGAGGGAGGGTTCCCCTGCCCCTAGCCAAGGCACTGAATGTCAAGGTGTCTTGAGTGGAAGAGGTTGGCAACACTGGCTCATTGGCCCATCTGACCTGGGAGATCCTGGAGCCCAGAGAGAGGAGGGCACGATGTGCTCAAGGTCACCGAGCCAGGCGGCGATGGGAGCCAGGCTTGTCCCCACCCCACAGGACCAGCCTGCTCTCCCTGCCCCCCTCCTGGCCTTCTCTCCCACTTGGCACTCAGGAGGCCCCTTCTCCTCTGCTCTTGCTTTTGAACCCACTTCATGGAAGCCTCCCCTGGCCCCCACCGTGGGCATGGCCCCCATCTGAGCTATGTCCTAAAACTAGTGGGTGGATATTCTAAGGAAACAGATTCGGCTTAACCCAAGAGAGGATGTTCTGGGAGTCGGCGCTGCCTGAGGAGGGGTGAGCACCCTATTGCTGGAGATGTGCAAGCAAAGACACACAGCCAGTGTAGAATAACACATGAAGCAGCACCCAGCACAGTGTCCCACACCTGGCCAGCACTCTGCAATGGCTAACCGCACTTCTGACTGTGGGAGGAAGTGAGTGTCCTGTCCTTCAGGGTGTGTGACCACTGGCCAGGAGCCTCTCATTCAACTCTGTCCAAGCACAGGGCTCTATCCAGCATTTGCTGCCTGAGGGAACGGCCTTGCTGCCCAGCCCTGCTCACCTTCAGGTGTCCCAGGTGCATGCAGGCCCGCTCACACATGTGCAGGAAGTACTTGACACTGCTCTCATCCACGATGATGTACACGGCCACCTTCCTCCTGAAGCCAGCGTCCAGCAGGTCCTTGAAGATGTCCACATCAGTGAACATGTCCATAACCACAGCGATTACCTGGAGCAGGAGGGAGGTCACGGCCTGTTAGACAGCACAGTGGGACTCACGGCCCTCTCACCCTGCTCCCGGCAGCCTCAGGACTGGGACCAGTAGTGAGGTGTGTCTGCATGGGACGGGGGCTACTCTGACCCCAGCATTCTAGGTCAGGAGTCCACAATGTGGATAAGGAGATTCTCAGTGATGTGTACTGGCATCTCCGGGGGTGGAAAGGAGTATGGAAGAAACATTCAATGCGCCTATTGTTTCCATAATCCAAAACTACAGAAACAAAGCTCAGCTAATCAGAAGGGACAAAAACAAAGGAAGGGTAAGAACATGTAGGGAGGGAGCCTGGGTCCAGGAGAAACTGGGCCATGCTTATCAAGCAGGTTCTTGAGTCAGGAGGGGTCCTTCCTCCCCTGCTGGCATCAGGGCTCCCTGGAGCAGGCTCTGAGGGTGAAGCAAGAGGTCCACCCAGGCCCTAGGGCCCTGACTCTGGCCCATTCCTGGGAGGCATGCCTGTGCCAGGGCAGGCCATACCACTGCCCTGCTCCCAGCTACCCTGGGGTGCTGAGATGACTGGGGGAGAAGGGGCAGAGAAGCCAACTGCCAGGGAAAGGGGAGCAGCACACCTACATCCCTGGTGTGGACTCTGGCCTCCCTCCTGTCTGCTTCGACAGAGCCCAAACGAGCACATGCCCTTCCTGACATCTGACAAGGTTCGTCACCTCACCACAGGTGAGCTCCATATCCTGGGCCTGACTCAGGGTGGGGACCCAGAGATCAAGGTGCATTGGCCCCACCTCAGGGCCAGCATAGCACAGCCATTCACAGCAGTCCACATGCGTGAAGGTGCAGGGTAAGGGCAGGGAGAGGAGAGGGCTGTGGGACTTGCCCATGGGCCCCCCAGCCAGGATGTGCCTAGACGACCTTGTTCCTCCTGAGGAGGTCTGTGAGGGGCCAGGAGGGGCCTGGTGCTCACCAGGCCTCCTGTCTCTCCATTACCCCCTCTGCTCCCTATCCTCACCACTTGTCTGTCAGTCTGTTGTACTGTGGTGGCTTATGTGACACTGTGATTCTAGAAGCTATGCCACCAGTATTTCAAGTCCCAGCAGGGTCACCCATGGTAGACAGGTTTCAGCAGCACTTCCAGACTAAGACAGACTAAGAAGAAAGGCCTGGTGATCTTCTTTGAAAATTAGCCAATGAAAACTCCGTGGATCACAACAGACCACTGTCTGATACAGTGTTGGAAGATGAGTTGCCTAGATTGGAAGGCACTCAAAATACACAGTGGCTGGAACAATGGACTTGAGCACACCAACAATGCTGAAGATGATGCAGGATTGGGCGATGTTTCATTCTGTTGTACATGGGGTAGCCATGAGTCAGCACCAACTCGATGACAACCACCATCACCACTACCACCTTCCATCCCCAGTGGCAGCAGAGGGGGAGGGCGTCAGACCAGGACCTGTGCCTGGTCACAGCGATGCTGCTGTCGGCCGGCACCCAGCTCTCTGGGTCACCCCACTATGCCTGCCCCGGCTTTGGCCTGGGTCTGAGAACCCCCTGGAGGAAATTCCCACAGAGAGGCCAGGGCTGTACCCTAGGCCACACGGCGAGGTGGGGACAGAGTTGGGCCAAAACCTACCCACCCTGGGTAGTGGGGCCCCCACCATAGGGATCCACATACGAGGGTGCCAGGGAGGCAGTGGAGACGTGTTTATGCACCCCACGGAAGCACTCCAGGCTGCCCCGAAGGCCCACCGAGGCCCCACCTCCTGCACGGGGTCCCTCCTCACCTGCCCTGTACTCGCCGTTGACCCTGAGCAGGACACCTGGCTCTCGGTTGGCTTTCCCGGATCCAGTGTTCTCACCTAATGCATCGGGGTGACATGACCACCTCCCAAGAGCGTCGGCACACCCAGACCCCACAGTGTGCAGGAAGGGCCAGGCCTAGCTGCAGGCAACACTGAGTGACAGTGCACAAGGGCTTCTCACAGCCCTGGCTTCCTAACCCTGGTGCTGGGGTCCCAATTTGCAGCTGAATAAACTGAGTCTCAGCAAGGTTGTAAAGCTTGTCCGAGGTCATAAAGCAAGTCAGGGGCAGGGCCTAGCCAGCCTCGGGTCTCTGGCCCCCTCCAGGGATGGGTATTTTGTCTCAGAGGGCCTAGCGGTGCTGGCTCACTGGGATTCTCTTATCCTCTGGGGGCAAAACTGCTTAATCTTTGCATCTCTGAAAGGATGTCTCGGGGCAGAGGTCATGGGCACAGTCTATGCAGGGGCCAGCAGGGCTGGGGGCGGGGCTGGAGTTCGCACCAGACAAGGATGTGCTCTCTGATTCCCAGAGCTGCCCAGCCTAGGCAGTGGTCTTTCGAAAGAGTGAGCTCCCTGTCCCAGGAGATGTTCAAGGAAAGGCCAGAGACTGGAGAGGCACAGAGAAGAGGAGGAACGAATAGAATCCGTAACTGTACATACAATGTCAGCTGGGGATGGGAGTGGGTACCAACAGCCTTTGACCAGTCAGGGTGACAAGACGCTGAGGTGGCTGGAGCAGGGACTTCTTCCCCGGGATCACACAGTCCCGGGGCCCCCTGGACAAGCCACCACTGGGCAGGCACACAGCCTCACGTGCCACCTTGGAAAGGGGCTGAATCTGGGCACAGCCAGCATGCTTCTCCCTGAGGCACAGTCCCCCCCACACCCGCCCCCATGGGCCAGGGGCTCATCCTGGCACACAGGGACTTGCCCTGGGCTTGGGCTAGGGGAACGTGCCCCAGCAGGACCATGCTATTGGCATGCACCTGTCGTCACCCTCTGGCAGTCACTGCTGCAGGTTAGAATGTTGGGGCCTGCCTCGCAGTGGGTCCCATGGGGTCTGTGGCCAGACCTCAGCTCTCCTGGGCACTAGGCTGGGTGCCAGGGGGTAGAGTGGAGGAGGGCTGGTAATAGGCGGGCCCCAGCAGGTATGGGGGCTGCTGATGCTGGGGGGGGGGGCTGGCGCTCCCAGACAGGCACCCCAGGTGGCCTGGTCCCCAATGAGAGCCATGAGGTCTCCTGAGGTCTTCAAGTCCTGTTCTCTTGTCCTCATTTTGTAGACAGGAAAGCTGGGGCCAGTGAGCCAATGATCACGACCAGAGCCATGGGCCCCCACAAGCCCTTCTGCTTAAGACAGTGCAAGCCAGCCCAGCCCTCTTGCCACATGCCGCACTTGACAACCGTTACACCGTGCGTCTTCCCCTTCACATACATGAGGACACTGAGGCACAGAGGGATCTTTCCTTGCCCAGTAATCTGTCTGGCGCCAGTTGCCTGGGACACTGACTCGTCCAGGCAGAGGCCCTGCCTGCCAAGCATGGCATAGCTTCAGGCAGCTCTGACCACAAACAGCTGCACAGATGGCTCAGCCCAGGAGCCATTCCAGGAGCCAAGGTAGCCAGGGCCAGTCACAGCCCTTTCAGGCCTCAGTTTCCCCATCTGCCACCTGGGGGTGTTGGCTTGGCTGATTTCTAAGATCTATCAGCTCAAATATCCAGGACTGGAAGGGGAGGCTGGACCTGCCTGGAGGCACTATACCCTGCACCCCTGTGCCCACACATTCCCACAGGAGTCAGGGCTGGAATGGGGAGGCCAAGGCCATGCAAGCCCCTCTTGAGTCCACATAAGTGGCTGTACCAACTGCCCGCTCCTCAAGAGGTGCGGCCTGGGGGCAGGTCTGTGGTTAAGGGGACCCAGAGACTTCACATCCAGGACCTGGTGTCCCAAGCAGTGGATGGGCAGCTCCCAGCCCCTAGCTCCTGGGTGGCACAGCCCAGCTCTCAAAGAAAGGAGCCTAGGGGTCCCCCAAAATGCAGCACCAGAGCCCAGGAGGGGCCTGGTTCCCTTGATAGCCCCCTGGTTCCCAGTCTCACCTGAGGAGAGGTGGGAGGAGGGCAGAGGCTGGGCGTGCAGGACAGAGGTGGGTCAGGAGGGAGCTGGCAAGATGCTGGCAGGGGTCACTTCCCTCCCATGGGCCAAGGCTGCCTCTGGCTGGGTCACTGCACTGACCTCCTCAGCCCCCCACCCCAATCTCCTGATGGTTTCGGATCCCCATAATATGCTTGGGGCTGGGGCAAGCTATGGGCAACCACCCCATGTTAAGGTTGCAGAAACTGTAGCCCAGAGTGGGAGGGGACCAGCCCAAGGTCCTGCCATAAGCACCTCCAGCATCTGGGTGGCTGCCAGGAAGGCAGCGTCCAGGCCACAAAGGAGTGAATGCTAATGCTGTGGCCACCATCCCCCAACAGCTGCCTTACTCTGAGGTCCTGCCAAGGGATGCCCAGGTGCCCAGCATGGCCTGTCTGTGCCAGCTGAGCATCTAGCCAAACCCACAGGCTGCAGACAGGAAGTCCCTGGCCCCCCACAGTCCCACCGCCCTCTTGCACCATTAGCACAGGCTCCCTGCCCTGCCGGCTGTGGACACCCTGCCTGTGGCACCCTAGCACCCACAACTAGTGTTTTCTAACCTTCCTGTGACCACAGATGGGAACTTAGAGGGCAGCCGGGTAAAGCAGGTCTCCATGGAAGTGCTTGGTGGGGTGGGGGGAGGTGCAGGACGAGTGGGGCCAGGTTGGTTCTGTAGTTGGAAGCCACTGGCCTGAGGAACAAGGGACCCATTATCAGTACAGGCCCAGCCTCAGCAGCAGCCTCTCTCCTCCAGGGCCCTGACCCCATAGCCCCCTTTCCCTAAAACACCCTGCCTCAAGCCCCCAGGTCTCCTCCCAGGCTGTTCCCCTGGCTGAGCCACCTTCCCATTTCTCTCCCCCTGGACAAACTCCTGGCCATCCTTCAAATCCCAATTCAGAACATGCCTCCCACCCAGGATCCTCTTGGTCATAGCTCTGACCCATCTGGCTGTGTATGTATCGCGTCTGCATTCCTGGAGATGCCCCAACAAAGGAGTTGAGGAGCGTGCCATTCCCCAAGGCCTGGACTCTGAGACTTGGGTCAGGGTGGGAGTTTTCTGGAATGCTAAC